AGCTGCCAGGTTCGGGACTTGAACCGTTGGCCATGTGGGAGTCCAGAGCCCCAACCACCTCACCACCTGCAGGCCCCAGGCCTCAAAACCTTCTAACTGAAGTCAGTTCATGCAGCAGTTGGCCAGGGCACTTTTACCTTCATTCAGAATCAAAACGACTTGTGCAACAGTGGACTCGTAGGTGAATGTTTGCGTTGTTCCCTACAGATGTGGTGCTAGATATCTACCTAGAAGGGCTCCATACCCTGCTCTGAGCCCTCCCCTAGTTTGAGCGCTGTTCTTCCGCAGCGTGACTCCATCACTCGTGTTTCCGTTGTCACCGACACCAGCGAGACCGCGCCTTCTCCCCTCAGAGCCTCTGCCCTGCGGTCCCCGCTGCTCTCCTCTCGTCCTCTTCCTTGCAGCTCTTGCCTGTTCTACTTGCCGAATTCCATATCCCTCTGAAGGTGGAACCCAGGCCAGCGCCCGTCCCTTCTGGTCCTTTGTGTTTCTCACAGCTTCTTCCCACGGCGGGGGCGCAGTCAGCACTCAGTAGGTACACACCTCGCGTAGCTCGGAGCCATTTCAAAGGCCCTGTATTTTCTCTCTTAGATATAACTTATCTGCAACCGAGACTTACAGCATGGTATGGAGAGCTTCCTTACACTTACTCAAGAATCACTCTGGAACCAAACCCTCACGTATGTCGAAATCTTGCCGTCGGTATGCTTTTATAACTATATGTATTAGCACTGAGTGTGATCATGGAATGGTAAATTACCTGGCAGAAGTGCGTGGTGCTTCCTAACGCAGAGCCCTCCGGGTTCAGAGATCCTAGTCTTTGTGCTGGTCATCTTTCGTGTGATTCTGAGCCATAGATGAGCTCAGAGGATGAGAAAACACTGGGACCAGAATAAATTAAACCGGAGTCCAGTATTTTAGGAAAACGAACAGCTCCTTCTCCTCATGTCCCCTTTCCCCAGATTTCCTGGCTGGACCCTCCTGTATACACCCTGGCACACGTTCGCCATGGGGCTGTGTCCTCACGACCGGCCAGCGAGGTCAGAGTGTCTTTTTCCATTTCTCAGGCTCTTTTGCTGTTTATGAAAAAACATGGTAGTTTTTTTTCTTGTTAACTTTATATTCATGCTATTGGCTTTAGTTCTCAGACTTCTAACTTATTACTGTCTTGGCTTATTTCTGCTGCTTTCTTTTGTTTTTTAAAAATTTCCATGACAGTAGACGAAGATATTCTAGTATATAAATTAGACTTGTCTGGCGGATGGAGTTAAGGTCCAAGAAATAGCTCCCTATTTAATCCCTGGAGTCTTGCCTCTGGCAAATAATATTATGCTCTTTTTAAAGTATGTTCTTCTTTGTTCATGATAGTATGTGCATGTGAGAGGGGAGCACCCCCACAGGGTCGGGTCATGCTGGGAGCCCCTTCCTCCAGCCCTCCAGCCTGTGGGTGTGGGGCACTTGGACCTGTGCCCAGCATGTTCCAGGGCCAGGGATTCAGACCATGGTTGCCATGTGGGATCCATTTCCTCTTGAGCAGTGCATTACCACTGCACCACGGAGCTGGCCCAATGTTACGGTTTACTGAAAGAGACTTTGAAGAAAATGGAATGTTGCTTCTGGCTTTGGGATACACAGAAATATGGTAGATTTCAGAGTAATGTGTAATCAGAAGCTATCATTATACTGTGTCAGGATAAAACATTGGCTGCATGCTTTGGTTTCAAGGCTTACTTTTAGAAGGTGACCCAGGAAAGTGTCGAGACCTTTTATAGCTGAACTTGATTTGAAAATATGCAGTCAATTGAATGAGGCCAATCCAACATAGACTACAGCCCTTGTTTTTGTGAGAATTAATTTACTTTCTTGTCAATAGTCACAGCAGAGAATTTGTGGATTAAACATGCTGTGGGGAAAAAGTTATTTCCCATTTATGCTATCAATAGTTAATCTTCATGTTTTGTTTTTTGAGTTTTTGCTACAGTGTATGTGCACTCACCAGAGAGAGACACAGAGAAACACAGAGGGAGAGTAAGAAGTCACCTCTTAGGAGGATGACCATGCCACAATCCCTTCTCCTTCATTCTCCTCTTGGGATTTTGGGTATGCACACACAACTGCCTGGCATGATTTTCAAGCCGCTGAGTCTGGGACTCAAACCGCATGACTACCGTGTGGAATCCAGTGCCTTCACCCCTACATGACCTGCTGCTCCCAGTTCATCATTTAGAACAGGACTTTTTAACTTGGGATCATTGACATTCACTGTTAGCTGGCTCTCTGCTGTGGGACTGCCCTGTGCCTGATAGGGTACTTCCCAGTACCCTGACTTGTACTCGCTAGATGCTGTAGCATCTCTCACCAGGTGGTAACATCCAGGAGTGACTGCTGACACTGCCACGTGTCTGCTGGGAGGCAGAATTGCCCCGGTTAAGAGTCACTGTTCTAGAGTAAACTTAAGGTACACGAGAGCTAACAAGGAGCCTGCTACTGTCTTTCTTACATTATGTTATCATAGAAGCTCTTTATTTTGGGGGTGGGGGAGGGTTTTGCTATAGGGCACGTGTACTCGCCAGAAAGACAGACAGAGACAGAGAGACAGAAAGCGAGAAATTACCCCCCAGGGGGGATGGTCACGCCGCAGTCCCTTCTCCATTCTCCTCTCAGGATCTTGGACATGCACGCACACGTGCCCGGTGTGAGTTTAAGACACTGGGTCTGGGACTCAAACTGCAGTCGGCTACATGGGAGTTCAGCGACATAGCCATTACACTAACTGCTGGTCCCCATAGAAGCTCTTTTGAAGAGTTGTCCAAATGTCCCATACACACACACACACACACACACACACACGTGTATCTTCAATACACATATATACATGTGTATATAAAATACATATACACATGTACACGTGTATATAAAAATATACACATACACATGTGTATAAAATATGTATGTGTATACATGTGTGTATATAAAATATACACATATATACACGTGTGTAAAAATATATATTTGCACATACGCATACATAAATATATACACATATACACATGTAAATAAAAATTATATTTACACATACATATATGTATTTTTAAAGTTTTTGCCATAGAGTACTTTAGAGACACAGAGAGAGAAAATGAGAAATCACTTCCCAAGTGAGATGACCACTCCATATCCCTTCTCCTCGTCTTCTCTTGGGATTTTGGGCATGCATGCACATGTACCCAGGGTGATTTTCAAGGTGACGGGTCTGGGACTCGAACCGTGGTTGGCCATGTGGGGAGTCCAGTGCCTTAATCACTGCTCCAGCTGCTAGCCCTGATCTTTTTCTTTACAGTTTAAGAAATATGTGTACTATTGAAAATTTCAGAATTGCAGGTAAGCATAAAGAGTAATACTAAAGTTTTTAATACTTCTATCTGATAACTTGGTGCCAGTCTTACCTCAGGCAGCTACTTGTAGAGAATTTTTTTTCTGTAAAAATAAATCAACTACATATATTGAATTTCATTTAACCATGTAATTCACATGGTTTAGTATCATTAAATATTCTTCTACAGCATCATTTAATTACTGTGTAGTATTCCATAATCTGTGAGTATCACGATTTATTCAAGCATGTCCCTTCTGGTGGATATTAAGGTCATCAAGTTATGACAGAATTCTTTCGTTGGGTTTGGCTGGCTCAGAACTTTGTGCTTACTCTCATTAATAATAGGTCTAGTTCATTTATACTGTGTCTTAAACAAAATCAAGAGTCGTCCTGCTACTTTCTCAGGTTTTTCAAAAAGAAGATTCACTAGGACCAGCAGATGGCGTAGTGGGTACATTGCTGGGCTCTCATGTAGTCCACCTGGTTCCAGTTCTGGACTGAGCAGCTTGAAACTCACGCCGGGCATGTGTGTGTGTGCCCAAAATCCCTAGAGGAGAATGGAGGAGAAGGGATTGCAGTGTTTCATTCTTCCCCGCCCTTCTTCCGGGGAATGATTTCTTGTTTTCCATCTCTCTGTTTCTCTGGCGAATGCATGCACTCTATAGCAAAACTTTCTCCCTCAAAAAGATCCGCTAATGTGTACCTGTGTGTGTCAAAGCTACTTGTTTAATTTACAGATTTTTATTACCTCAAGCTTAAGCATCTTAGTCATCTTTCAGTCTAAGTCTCCCACCGACCCAGCCTATGAAATAGACCCAAGCCTTGCAGGCCGAGGGTCCCGCCTCCTGAGCTGGCCCTCCTCCTGCAGCGCCTCTCCCAGCGCCAGCCCTGCAGCACCCAGGACTCCCAGGACACTTTGAAATCCCCGAATAGAGCCTTCTACCTCTGCAATTCACATTTTCTGGTGTTTTTCTCCTTGGATGTCTTTTAAGGATAGAATGTCTTCACTGAACAGTGAGATGACGCTGAATTATAATTTTAACGTTCTAAGGGATCTGTATATAGAGTATTGGTTGGAGAGTTTAAATTAATCCTCTAGTTCAGTATCCTTCTTTTATCTCTTTTTCTCTACCAAAAATAACCGAGAAAAAATACATACTCCCTTAGAAGCATCGCGCAGACTTGATGTTATCGCAGGGCTTGGTCGCTAAGCAAGGGAAGTGATAATTAGCTTCCCGGTCACATTGGAGAAGAGCTATCTTCTTCCTTGTTAAATGTATCATTCTAGCATTTGATCTTTATCTCCATAAAGATAAATTTAAAGCTGTAAAATAAATAGGAAAGCCAGCTTAGTGACATTTTGATTGAAATTCCACTTTGGAATTGATTCTCTTGAACGTAGGTTAGTTTAGTGATGTTTTTGTTTTAGTGATCTAAGTTTTGTTTGTTGTTGTTGCTGTTTATTTTTTGAACTCCTCTGTTCAGAATGTAATGCTGATATCTACAGCAAGGAATCCCGACTTTAACCATGGCTTTCACATTCCGTGGACCTGAGTGATCTCACATAGGAGTCCCTGGCAGTCTTACCTGACAACGGCCACAGGGTGGCCTAAGAATGACATCATGCTTCCCTCTGCTGCACGTTCATGGCCTTACTACTGAACGCGGAATGGACATTTGAGGAATTCTTTAAAGTAGCAGTTCTTAAAGTAAATCCGTTTCACAGTAATCCTAAGATTGTGTAGCATTTTCACTGTGTTGAATTTTCACTGTTGTACAAATGTAACAGCAGGTAAAACCATGGGTGCCTTCACAGGAAGGAAAGCACTATCATCAAACGGTACTTTTTATTAAAAAAGAAAAAAATTTTTGAGAGGTTTTTGCTATAGAGCACATGCGCTCACCAGAAAGAGACAGAGAGATGGAGAGACAGAAAGCGAGAAATCACACCCCCAGGGGAATGGCCATGCCGCCATCCCTCCTCCTCCATTCTCCTCTTGGGGTCTTGGACACGCATGCAAATGCGCCCGTGTCCAGGACTTGAACCATGGTCAACTACATGGGAGTCCAGCAACATAGCCATTATGCCACACTGTACTTATTAATAGTAGTCATGGGGCCAGTAGGTGGTGTAGTGGTTACATTGCAGGACTCCCATGTGACTATGGTTCGAGTATCAGACCCAGTGACTTACAAATCACACCAAGTACGTGTGTATGTGTGCCCAAAATCCCAGGAGGAGATTTGGAGGAGAAAGGATTGCAGTGTGGCCATTCCCCCTGGGGGAGGAGGTTCTCACTTTCCCACTCACTGTCTCTCTCTCTGTCTCTGTCTCTGGCAAGCACACGTGCCCTAAGGCAAAAATCTCTTTTAAAAAAAATAGTAGTCATTGTCTTCTTCACCACCATGCACTCCCAGTTTAAATTTAAAAAATGCCAGTGTCATTTAAGAATGTCCCTCAATGAAGTAATAAACATTATTGATTAAATCTCAGCCTTTGAGTACCTATCTTATTAGTTTGTTTGATGAAGTCGAACATACATATAAAGCCCTATTGCTGCGGACAAGCTGCTGTGGTGTACACTATAGGCGTATTGAGCTGCTCTTTTTTCTTTCTTTCTGTTTGCTGTGTGCCCTCACCAGTGAGAGACAATGGGAAGGGAGGAGTGAGAAATCAGCCCCTGGGGGGATGGCTACACTGCAATCGATTCTCCTTCGTTTCCTTCTCGGGATTTTGGGCAGACACCCACAAGTGCCCAGTGTGTTTTCCAAGCCTCTGGGCCCAGGACTTGAACTATGCAGTCAACCATGTGGGATCCAGCCACCTTAACCTCCAGGCCACTGACTGGCTCCTCGTTAGCTACTCTTCTCATGAACTAGTGTCCTTAGAAGGGCAGCTGGCAGGCGACCGGCTGTTCGGACTGGAGAGTTTGGCAGATGTTTTCTCATGAACGTAGTGAATGTCACTTCAAGGGAAGCAATGGTCAAGATTTGTTTCTAGTGATAAAGTTGAAGTTTCAAGCAAAAAAGTTAGAATTTTGGAAAACTGCCTAGAGCCTGGCCTCTTCTTATTGCATTGAATTTTTCTGATGAGATCAGTGATAATATTAATGGATGTGATTTTTTTTGTTGTCGCAGTTGTAAAATGAAATATGTCAGTGTTTAGAAGATCTGTATAACTCAGTGAACCAGTATTTTCCAGAGGACCAGTTGTTAATGTTACAAAATCTTACGAGGTTAAAGATGTATTCAAACTGCAAGTTGGATCAGTGGATTTCAGTGTAAAAGACTATGAAAAGCTTGAAATGGTTTCAGATTCCACATTGCAGCTAACCTATAGGAAATTAGCACTTGAAGGGTCAGCAAGTGGTTAAAGTACTGGATCCCAGTTGGTCAACTTTATGGTTCGAGTCTTGGATGCAGCAGCTTGAAAACCATACCAGATGCCTGTTTGTGCACACCCAAAATCCCAGGAGGAGAATGGAAGGGAAGGTTTTGTAGCTTGGTCATCCCTGCTAGGGGGATGATTTTTCACTTTCCTTCTCTCTGTCTCTCTCTGGTGAGCACGCACACACACCCTATGACAAAAATCTTTTAAAAAATAAAAGAAAAAGAAATAAAGAATGAACGAAATTAGCACTTGAGTTTTAGTGTAACATCAAAGAAAATATCTCCACTTATTTGAAAAGGCGATAAAAACTCTTTCCTTTTCCAACTACATATCTGTGAAGCTAGATTTCTTCATATGTTTTAACAAAAACAGCACTGTAATAGAAGAAATACAGAAGCAGAAATGAGAGTCAACTCTGTTAAGACAGACATCAAAGAGATTTGTAAGCTGTTACTTTTCTCTTTGTTGTATTGAAAAGATATAGGTACTTAAAAAGAATATTTGGGGACCAGCAGTTAGTGTAATGGCTATGTCGCTGGACTCCCATGTAGTCAACTGTGGTTCGAGTCCCAGACCTGGCAGCTTAAACTCACGCCGGGTGCATGTGCGTGTGTGCCCAAGATCCCAAGAGGAGAATAGAGGAGAAGGGATTGTGGCGCGGCCATCCCCCCTGGGGGGTGATTTCTCACTTTCTGTCTCTCTGTCTGTCTCTGTCTTTCTGGCAAGCGCATGCGTCCTATAGCAAAAAAAAAAAAAATCTCTCCAGAAAAAAAGAAAAGAAAAAATATTGAATTCATTATTAAACTTTAAATGAATTAATGAGTATTTTTTATATTATTCAGTTTTTTTAATATGGTGTTGATATCTGTAACCTGTGTCCATAAAAGTTCTGAGGGGGTCCTCAGTAAGTTTATTTTATTATCTATATTTCATAATTTACATTTTAAAAAACTATTCATCTATTAATTTGCTGTGATTTTTCAAGAGACTGTTCTGGGACTTGAGCTGCGGTCAGCCCTGTGGGAATCCAAGTACCTTAACCACCACGCCACCTGCTGGTCCAGCAACCTTAAAGTGTAAAGTTTGAAAAGCACTTGAGATTTCTGGAAAGACAGGATTCTAGCAAGAACCCAGACAACACTGCTAATTGTGGCCAGGTCCACCCTGAGGCCGGGGTCCTAGCTTCGTGCCGTGTTGGTGGCAGGAGGTGTCCACGCGGGAACTGCACACACCACCTCGGTGCCCGGGAGGTGCAGCGCTGGGGTCTGCTGAGCTCTGTGTGGCCGACGGTCCGAGCGCTTGTTAAAGCGTGCG